GGTCTATCGGTTAAGTACTCTGGCGCGAGACAAGCAGGTCCTAGGTTCGAATCCCGCGAGGCGGGGTCATGGATGCTCACTGCTGAGGAGTTCCACAATAGGACGAAACGGTCATCCAGTGTTTCCAGTTTTCCCATGGTGGTCTAGTTTCAATTGACTCATGATCCTAACTATATAAACTTACTAAAATTTCAACGAAACCCCCTTTCTGATATATGAATTAATGCTACCAATATAAAAATAGCCTTTTTTAGAGCCAAAAATCAATAATATTGTTGATGTAAGCCATTTTATTCAAATGAAAACTTGACAGATATATTCTTCTTCTATATAAGAGATACTTTCATGAATTTAAAGTGTTTAAAATTACGGAAATATTATGGGAGGAACAGAAATGTAAATTGCATAAGGAAATTAACAATATACTGTTTTTTTTAAATATATGATCTTGATAATTTTCAAAATAGCAGTAACAATAGGATTCGTATAGTTAGATGAGGAATATCTCGTCATATAGATTATGGAACTAAGTGATTATAAAATTAATTAATTAAATTATAATAAAACTAAAACAATAAACGAATTTTAGGGAATCGGTAAATTCGAAGACTATGTAATTCATGAGATTGACAAGAAATATGTTTTCTGGGTTTCCAAAGCTAAGAAGTCGTGTCAGTTGATAAGTAGATTTAAAGTAATCTCTGCATATATCGAATATATAAATATTTGATACCAATCGATCTGTGGGTTACAAATAATAACATGCCTATATAATGCATAATCAATGATGGAGATCAAGTTATTGTATGACTCAAAGTCGCATGCACTATCATAAGTTTCTAGGATGTTGTGAGTAGTCATCAGGATTCAAACCTGTTTAAAATCTCAGTGCCGTGGGAAGACAGTCACTGTCTAAATACTTCACTATTAACGTTTCTGTCTGAAACACTAGGTAATTCAGAGAACATCATTTCCCTCAAAATTTCAAATACCTCTTTCCTATGACTGTTAGCTAGCACAGAAACTGGATTGACAGTTTTCAGTTAATTATTTTCAATGATATGACATATTAACATTTTTAATGAAATCATAAACATGTAAACATTTGTTCAGTTATGATAGACAAAGCATATCTGTTGTGTTTTATCATTTATGCTAAGTTTAAGGAAGAATGATCATATTATATTTAAATTACTCAACTTCAATTCAAGAAAGACCTTTTAAGAAACATAATTTTCATAAGCCTTTCTTTTTTTAAAAAGGAACTAACAAATCTGCTCATGCTAGAAATTCATGTTTAAAATAATTAAATAACAATAATAATAATAATCTAATTTAGGTTGTTTTAGTTACATTAAAAGTAAAAACAAACTATTAAGCTAACAAAATGACGTGTTTCAGTAAATCCCTAAAAGATAAATTTTATATTTTGAATCGTTTACAAAGAAAATATCTATTAATTCATCTATTAATTTTTATACTAATCAGTGTATTTCAACGTATATTGTACTGCCGGTCACTATGTTAAGCTTATTCTAGCTTTCGGATAGACCAGTGTATTCATTCTTCTTGAATCACATTTTGACCTTGTTAATTTTTTGCCTATTAATCTTGACCGTTTTATTTGAGCATATATATGTGTACTTCTTATCCTATTCAACATATGTCTGTAACTTATTTCTATTTAATTATAAATATCGATTCACGCTTAGTCGAATCAAGTTAACTTACATGCCCTCTCCACCGAGCGTCATTTCGCTTCGCTCTGTACTCTTCGCTTCTCCAATCTTTTATCTGGACCAACGATTGCATAAAATATGCGTATTCGAAATCCATCCTTGTACTTGACTTATTTAATTCCGTTATTCCCTAACGCGAGTTAAGTCGATGAGTACATGTGAAGACAGCCAGGATATATATTTTAGCAACAATCATTCATGAGATCTAACTGTAATCAGATCTCAGGTCACTAAAATGTTATGATTATATGGGAATTTTTCATCTATCAAAATGTTATCTTAGTATAAAGATTCAAATCAAAAAAGAAAGAAATACTTTAAGTTCAATAAATGATAGTAATCTCTTCTCAAGCTTTTTTTCATCATCAGAATAATCAATATTGAATAGTAGATAAACATGAACAAATATATTAAAAATTCCATGATAAATCTTGAATGAGAAACTCGAAACAGTTTTACTTGAAGTATCACTAGTTAAAACAACGACTTAAAAAATAATCAAAAATAAAAAGGGATCTGGCTCGAGACTGGTTGGTTCTGGGTTCGAATCTCACGAGTGCGGAATCGTGGATGCGCACTGCTTAGGAGTCCCATAATAGGACGAAACGGCCGTCCAGTTCTTGCAGGTTTTCCATGGTGGTCTAGCTTCAATTGACTTATGCTTTCAACTATGAAAAAAAATTTGCTTCAATGGAAATGATCAGTATCAAACAAGAAAATAAAAAAGATATCATGACAATAAATTCCAATATTTATACAAACTAGAACCACTACGGAAATGAAAATTATAAATATTTGACATAATTATTTGAAGTAAAAGACTTCAATGCGAATTTTCTGAAGTAATTTACTTTATATATAATAGAACATTACTCTGGTAATATAATCATAAAGGAATTGACAATGATCCAGAGTAATTAGTAAAGTTCTGTGACAGTTAAACGGACTATTCACTATATTTTAAAACTTAATTAATGGTCAAAATATAATAAAACTTTGTCGAGTATGCAGTACCAAATATATAAAAGATATTACTACTTTAAAACAAGTATAATGTGAGTTTCTGATGTGAACGAAGAAACAAAGAATCTATGACGTTATTTCACCTAATTCAAAGCTTGTAAAACACTTACATTTAGTTTTAGCCTTAGTTTATTCTACAGATTATAAACTTTCGTCTGATGTATGATTCACTGCTATGCTCTTTTCTGTTCAAAAGTCATTGTAATCTACACGTAACCTTGAGTACTCTATTTTTCTACCCTAATAATTGTATTTTTCTAATTGCTTGTGCGTTGTGGTCATGTCAGTTATTCATTTATTAGTGTATCTTTTTGAGCTCATCTAAACTGGATTTGGGGATCGAAATCAGGAATTAATCGACTACTGTTTCAGTTGACTCGTCTCCTCCCCCTCGCTTGTCAGTCAATCAGGTGATCGAATAGGTTTTCCTCTCTCTATCCAAGGCAGTCAGTCTCAATTCGGACTAACGCATTTCCAGCCTCAAGGTTAAACCAGTTAGCCTATCGCTTCCTGGCCTTAATCCAAATTGATATGAATTCCCTCTTGTATATTATTGGGTAGATAGACCGATGACTTAAAAGTTCCGTTTACAGAGTACACCTTTTTTACATTGAAAATACGTTCAGAATTCAATATACCCGTGTTTATAAAAGTCATATTCAGATGGGTTTGAACAAAAACAAAGTGAAATTCACAACTTTTAAAAAGTCTAATACTGAATAGCATAAATGATAATTTTGGGGAATGAATTATAATCTTATGAGGATTCACTGAGGAGCTACAAGATCATTTCTATTCTTAAGTTCATATACAACAAGGAATGCCTGAAGACACCGGGACTATCAACCTTAGCATATGGATGTTAAATTTATATATATTTCCATAATGCTACTCGTGCACCATTGTAAACAGAATTTTTCATAAGGTTATCTTGCATCAGAAATATGCTTCCACTCCCCAGTGTTTTGGACTTGGTAGCAGCGACCAAATTCTAGCAATCTTCAGAATCTTAACAAGTGCCTCCACTGCTCATCAGAACAGAAATTTGTGAGTATAGTGAGGTGTTTACACATAAAACATGTATAATGTGTTAAAGATCTTTTAAGATATTGACTGAGAAAGATGTTTTCCAGTTTTCGAATTGTTTTAACTTACAATTTGTGGTTCACAATCGCTTCTCAAAATTTCAAAACATATTTATAAAGAAATTTTCCCTTTCGTTTACCAATTACGGCGATCGAAACAGGAACCACTAGATTCATATGATCATTTTGGAATTTAAAATGTTAAATATTAATTATACTTTTGATGATGCTTTGTTTGATTTCTTGGCACAACCAATTACAATATGATATCATTATATTTTACGACTGTTCATCAGTCGCTAATGGGCTAAATTTATATTATTAATATTATTGCAAAAGGTTTTGCATACCATAATCACTGAAGTCAAGATAGAAACAACATAGGAAACTAGAAAACAAAACGAAATATTCAAAAAAAATAACTAAGATCATTTGGTGTTTATATGTTTAAGATAAAGTCGTGTAAAGGAGGAGGTGAAGCTATGAATGAAAATGAAGAGGTAATAAATAAAAACACATGGTTAACAAATAAGCGATAATTAGGATACTTAGGTGACGTAGAATTAGAGTACTAAGTGAATGTCAGTGGAACTTTTTGTTTTAAGTAACAAAATACAATAAAACGATAATGTTATTAACAAACGTTAAAATAATATAAGCATCCTACCAGGGTAAAGAGAGGTTTACTACACTTTCTTCCAGTAATATGAACGTCAGTTCAAAAACGGTGTTTTCTATTTGTTAGTTATATAACACTGGACTGCTAAAAGACATCTTTTTACCTCTACTCGATTCTACATGAAATCTTTTCACTTATGAATTCATGATTGATAAAGATAGGTTTCTGTCAACAGTTGTCTAATGAAGGGTTCTTTAAGTTTTACTCAAAACTGGTACCTATGTTGTAAAAGTCAATAAAAGTGCATTTATTGACAAACCAAGAATGCTTTCGTGTTTTTCGGTCACTTCACAGATATTTTGAAGGTGAGTCATTGAAGATTTTATATCAAACCGGTATTCAGTACAAATTTATTTATTTTGGGGATTATTTCTTGCTATTTTCCTCAACTCCAGTTTCGCTTGACAGGATCGTTTCATAATTTATTTCTCGGGATCATTATCTGAACAGTTAAATTGTACTCTTGATTACGAAATGTATGAATCTGTAGATCGTCAATGTAGATCTATGTAAGTGACTGAAGGCCAACTTGAGTTGGACGGGCATGACGTGTCAAACTGGCTTGCGTCGAGGTCGCAACTCATGGTTAGTACATAACGTAGATTATCCTTTCGTCGTATCCAAATACTATGACTACTTTGATGACTGGATGCCGCAAACGCTATTACGGAGTTGTGATAGTCAGAATAGGTACAAGAAATAGAGTACGACCACCGTTGTACAGGTCTGTCCATGGTGTGCAATTGATTGATGGACTTTGGTTGCTCTTCGCCCTGATGACGATTGATAAACTAATCAATGTTCAGTGACCCGACTACCACACGATCTACCTAGAGTCCAGTGACACTTCCAGATTTGCATTACACTTCATCCCCTGGTGTTTCCGTGGATATTTAGATATATTTTGTATTATCGTTAGAAATAAGCAATTACTTTTACTAGCTTTCTAGTGCTTTAACGTTTTGCAGTCAAAACGTTTGCAAATTACTGAACAAGGTGATGTAATCACATTACTATCTGTTAGATGATTTCTAGATGGATAACAACTAGAATCTAGTCTTTGTAAAGAAGGTTAATTTCCTCAGGGCCACGCAACTTGTTAAGTTTGAACTTCTTGACTTCTCAAAATATCGTTCATTATCATACTGCTATATCAAAAAACATCACATTAGATCCAATACTTAGAGCAATGACGAGATTGACTGATGATATGGAGTCATAGGTGATGATTGTGGGTATATTATTTGTATTCACAGCAAATCCACACTACCGTGGAAATTTCTCGTGCTGTAGAGCATTTATTTTATTTATTTAAACACATAAATATTGATACAAAAAGCACCAGATAAATATGCGCCACACAAATCACATTTGATTTGTGTGAGAGCTGTGATACTGCCCAGGTGCCCAAACCGAAGCAGGTGGTTTTCTTAGGGGGCCACACCCCGAGCCTTTGACCTAAAGGTCTAATCCACAAGGCAGTGGAGCATCGTGAGGAGATGCAGTCCCATGGTAGCCGGTGACCAACAATAGGTTCATACGCCATTCCTTCCATCAGGATACTGGAGCCCATGTGCACCATTGGTTTGAAATCAGGGTTTTCCAACTCTCCTAGGTGGACCCTCCATGTCCACCAACCCGGTTAAAGCGCCGGACATTCACTTTTCGTCCTCTCAATTTCGTGAACAACACCCCCACCACGAGAAGGCAGTGAGTAGGAATTTCCTGGCAGAGGCTATATATTCGCTGGCCATGTGAGAGCATTTCGAGAAGGAGAGCGGACTCTCCCCACTCTTGGCCGTACCCGGGCATTTGGGGGCTGTAGAGCAAATTAACGCTGAGTCGTATCTGAGTGATTTTGATAGTCGTTCAGAAGCATAACACTCAGTTGCATGGACTTTTGATTTAATGAAACCTGAAGATGCAGAATTTGCCGAAAAGTCATGTTCTGCAGTACTCACACCGGTAACGAAGACACTTTTAACATCACGTTTATAACTGGAAACATGTAGCGGCCAATACTGTCATTATATTCTCACCATTTTAGCCCAAGTTTGGTATGTATGGAATTGCAATGCACTTTCAAAATTATATACTTTTATATAAAAATTATATAATTTTAAAATTGTATAATAAGGAAAAACGACAAGATGCTGCTAAACCTGGCAAGCTATCATAATAGTGTTTACAAATGACAAATTCGTTGGGTTTAAACGTCTGCTTCGCCACGTCGTAAATTCATCTCTGTCCGACTAAGGGGGAGTGATATGTGGCAGTAAATAAATTCCCAAAGTCAATAGCCTTGTAAGTGTTTGACAATGGATGCTGGTCACGTTAGTTTGAATGGACTCACCTAACTGAAGGCGTTCACTCATGCATCCGCACCAGATCACGAATTGGAATGCAGCACCCAAATTCTCCTGCAACCACTAGCCAGTTAAGATCAGTCCATTCTCGATATATTGATAACCTAACAAATAAATCTTTCAACCTCCTCGCTTCCGAGTTTTGATTTCACTGCGTGGACGCGATTCAATTACAGGTGTTACTGTTAAAGTGTTGTCAAACTAAAATACCTGTGGCATCTTCATGGAGAAGTGACTGAACTAAGCTGGTTAGCAGTTGTAGATGTGAAGCACGACGTACCCACCCGTGATTTGATGCGGATGCGTGATAGAGCACCTTCAACTAGATGGTTCCACTAAGATTTATGTGGTCAGCATCAATGACCAGGACATACAGAGCTATTTGTTTGGGAGATTTATTTACTGCTACATAGTTACCGAGCTGTTAGTAACACGAACTGAATTAGTTCTCAAGTACAAAAGTTGTTCCTGTTGTATATTACAATTACGGTTGATTTGTGTCGACGATTGAGTGCCTTCATGACCAAAGAATCCCGAATTTGGTGATACCATAATTCAGGAATGAAGAAATTTGAACTTATGTTTGAATAGCAGTCGGTGTGTCGAGAAGTGAGTGATTTATGCTAGCTAGTTTTCGCGAGGGTTCGACGTAGGATGCACCCGATCATGATCTGTTGTGGATGCGTGATCGAACACCTTCAGCTAGTTTAGCCAGGTAAACTAATGAGGCCAGAATCAATGTCGAAAACTTACTGAACTATTTATTTCTCATTTTATTTACTGCTAATGTACAGGCGAAATTCGTGCAAACATTTTCGTGGTTGTGGAACTCCTCACAGCAAGCAACAGACAATACTTCCCTGTTGATACTTTTAAAGGCACACTACGTTTGTTTCATTTCATCAGGCAATAACAGGAGTGCACTCTTTAAAAGGACAGTGGTATTGTTTCTCGTTGAGTTAAATTCACTGTTTTGATCGTAAATTACTACTGTTTACACTTTAATTGAATTTATTTCAGTTAACGTGATATTGTATTTGTGTGTTTTGATCCTGCTTTTGTATATTTACTGCATCAAAGCATTCTTGGTCGACTTCGGCTTGAATATTTGATCAAGGTTGTGATTTGTCTTACATATCTACCTTGTCTATCATTTCGCTTCATTCTAAGATGGTCGGCTCTGCACACAAGTGTGGACAGCCATATTGCTTATTTCCCGTCGAAGAAGGGATGCAATCTGATGAATGTAAGAAGTGGTTCCACAGAATGTGCACCCGGTTGAGCCCTACTGCCTATGAAAGGTGTTTGAAGCCCAATTCTCATTGGCTCTGTATGCTTTGTTGTTCAAGCTAAACATTACTCATTCAAGAAGCCATTAGCCTTCTAGCATTAGCTAATAAAGAGGTCGACGAAGGCCGTGCCGTCAGCGTGAATACTGATAACGAAGATTGTATGAGTGTCGTAAATGCTGCAATGGTATGTGCCAGACACCCAATGTTGCAAAAGGAAGTAGAAATTTCTACTCCGAAACAACTAAAGAAAGACACACCATTAGATATTGAGGGACAAGTTGCTTTAGCAGCAACTGATGATCCGGCTAGAAACACTATCGTTCCGAGTAGTTCTAATCTGGATTCTGAGACTGGTGGGAAATGGATAACGCGGAAACGTAAAAGAGAAGGTAACATACCTAAAGAGAGCGCGCGTATAGTCGACAAGTCCTTGTTGGACTCACGTCCTGCGTATCAGGTTACTCCGCCTAAGTCCAAATGTAAGAAAATATTTGGCCCTGTCGTGAATGGAAACAGTTTGGCTTCACTAAATTTTGTTGTGAGTCACTCGCTCGACTCACACGTTACTGTTAAAGGAAAGCTAACAGCAAGAACCCAGTAGCCAACATGCAGGATCTGACGTCACGGTCGAAAGCCGTTAACACGACTTTTAAAAAAGTTAAATAGTTCCTTAGTGAAGCCATTTGGAATTTAGAATGATCGAAAGACCCCGACCCTGCTAAGAAACATGCCCACGATCTGCAGTTAGTGAGATCTGTCACCATAAAAGTACTGCCCGATGAGGTCCCAGAAGTACATATTTCGAAAGTCATCAGACTCGGTAAATATGTTGGAGGCGAGACCCAACAAAAAAGGATCCTTAAATTAGTACTCGGTAAGTTTGAGAAAAGAGACGTAGTACTGAATAACGCACGCGAAATTCGGGACTCAAATATTCGTATTCAACCAGACTGACCAACTCCGCCTGTAGCTCCTCTGGGGGTTACTGCCGGTCCCAAGCCCGGGTAAAGGAGGAGAGTTGTGCATGGGGTTAGCGACCCCATCCCGTAGAAAATCAACTCGCTAAAAAAACGCTAACCAGAAAAAATCATTCAAACCATTTAAACTCTGCCCTGGGAGTAGAAGGAATAATTCTAACGTCTCATGATGAAAGCCGAGTTCCTTCGGAAATCATGAGGCCGATGCACCTTCTTACAACCAGAGCGACAATTTTTATAGGTACATGGAATGTCCGGACAATGTGGGAGACCGGCAGAGTCTTCCAAATTTCTGCGGAAATGAGGAAATACAACCTGGAAGTGCTTGGAATCAGTGAAACACATTGGACGCAGGTTGGACAACAACGACTGTCTTCAGGGGAACTTCTGTTATACTCCGGTCATGAAGAAGAAAATGCCCCACATACACAAGGAGTGGCACTGATGCTGTCTAGAAAAGCACAAAATGCACTTATAGGATGGGAATCTCATGGACCGAGGATCATCAAAGCCTCCTTCAAAACAAGGAAAGAGGGCATTACAATGAACATCATCCAATGCTATGCGCCTACCAATGACTACGATGAAGACGCTGAAGACCAATTCTACGGTAGGCTGCAGTCGATCTTCGAGAGGTGCCCAACAAATGACCTGACCATGCTGATGAGAGATTTAAATGCCAAGGTTGGAAAGGACAACACTGGATACGAAGACGTCATGAGACAACATGGACTGGGAGAAAGGAACGAAAATGGTGAGAGATTTGCAAATCTATGTGCCTTCAATAAACTGGTCATAGGTGGCACCATATTCCCACACAAAAACATACACAAAGCCACTTGGATTTCACCGGATAACACTACACAGAATCAAATCGACCATATCTGCATCAACAAAAAGTTCAGGAGGACGATGGAGGATGTGAGAACCAGAAGAGGAGCTGATATAGCATCCGATCATCATTTTCTGGTCGCCAAGATGAAACTAAAACTCAAGAAGCACTGGACAACGGCGCGGACAACATCACAAAAGTTTAACACGGCCTTTCTTCGAGATGCTGACAAACTCAACAAATTCAACATAACCCTCAGCAACAGGTTCGAGGCCTTTCATGACCTACTCAATGGAGAGGGGACTACCATGGAGAGCAACTGGAAAGGTATCAAAGAGGAAATTGTTTCAACATTTCAGGAGGTTCTGGGCCAAAAGAAGCACCATCACAAGGAATGGATCACTGTTGGTACACTGGATAAAATTGAAGAAGGGAGGAACAAGAAGGCAGTAATCAATATCAGCCGGACAAGAGCGGAAAAAGCCAAGGCACAAGCCGAATACACAGAGGCCAACAAGCAAGTGAAGAGGAGAATCAGAACCGACAAACGTAAATATGTGGAAGATTTAGTGATGACAACGGAGAAGGCTGCAAGAGAGGGAAACATGAGACAACTGTATGATACAACAAAGAAACTTGCTGGAAATTACCGTAAGCCAGAAAGACAAGTGAAAAGCAAGGGAGGCAAGGTAATCATCGACATTGAAGAACAACGAAACAGGTGGGTAGAACACTTCAAAGAACTCTTGAATCGACCAGCCCCACTGAACCCACCCAACATCGAAGCAGCACCCACAGACCTCCCAATCGATGTTGGCCCACCAACAATTGAAGAGATCAGCACATTCATCAAACAAATCAAGAGCGACAAAGCAGCAGGACCAGACAACATCCCGGCAGAGGCACTGAAAGCAAATGTAGCAGCAACTGCCAAGATACTCCACATCCTCTTCGGTAAGATTTGGGACGAAGAACAAGTACCAACAGACTGGAAAGAAGGACTTCCGATCAAAATACCAAAGAAAGGCGATCTCAGCAAGTGCGATAACTACAGGGGCATCACTCTTCCCTTAATACCAGGAAAAGTCTTCAACAGGGTATTGTTAAACAGGATGAAGGATTCCGTGGACGCCCAACTTCGAGATCAACAAGCTGGATTTCGTAAGGATAGATCGTGCACAGACCAAATCGCGACTCTACGTATCATTGTGGAACAATCAATCGAAAGAAATTCATCACTCTACATCAACTTCATCGACTACGAGAAGGCATTTGATAGCGTGGACAGGACGACACTATGGAGGCTTCTTCGACACTACGGCGTGCCTGAGAAAATAGTCAATATCATACGGAACTCCTATGATGGACTAAACTGCCAAATCTTCCACGGAGGACAACTCACCGACTCGTTTGAAGCAAAGACTGGTGTAAGGCAAGGTTGCTTACTCTCACCCTTTCTCTTTCTCCTGGTGATCGACTGGATTATGAAGACGTCAACATTTAGAGGAAATCACGGGATACAGTGGACAGGCAGGATGCAACTTGACGATCTAAACTTCGCGGATGATCTGGCTCTTCTATCACAAACGCAACAACAAATGCAAGAGAAAACGACCAGTGTAGCAGCAGCCTCAGCAACAGTAGGTCTCAATATAAACAAAGAGAAAAGCAAGACTCTCCGATACAACACAATATGCACCAATCAAATTACACTTGACGGAGAAGCTTTGGAGGATGTGGAAACCTTTACATATCTGAGTAGTATCATTGATGAACACGGTGGATCAGATGCAGATGTGAGGGCGCGGATCGGCAAAGCAAAAGCAGCATACTTACAACTGAAAAACATCTGGAGCTCAAAACAATTGTCAACCAACACCAAGGTTAGAATTTTCAATACAAATGTCAAGACAGTTCTATTGTATGGGGCGGAGACGTGGAGAACTACGAAAGCCATTATCCGGAAGATACAAGTGTTTATTAACAGTTGTGTACGCAAGATACTTCGGATCCGATGGCCAGACACTATCAGCAACAAGTTACTGTGGGAGACAACAAACCAGATTCCAGCAGAGGAAGAAATCAGGAAGAAGCGCTGGAAGTGGATTTGGCACACGTTGAGGAAATCACCTAATTGCGTCACAAGACAAGCCCTCACATGGAATCCTGAAGGTCAAAGGAGAAGAGGAAAACCAAAGAACACATTACGTCGAGAAATAGAGACAGACATGAGAAGAATGAACAAGAACTGGATAGAACTAGAAAAGAAGGCCCAGGACAGAGTGGGTTGGAGAATGCTGGTCGGCGGCCTATGCTCCATTGGGATTAACAGGCGAAAGTAAGTAAGTAAGTAAGTAAGTAACCAGACTGGTTACTTGAGGATCGGATCAAGTGGAAGAATGCCTTGATGGAGTTAAAAACTTGAAAGCTAAACAATGAAACGAACCTTACGATTAAGGGTTTTCGAGTTGTCAGGTCTTGGAAGCCAATTCTTCCGAGACCTGTGTGGGTAGAACGTATGTTTCCAAAAACGCCTTAAATGTGTGCGTCTGTAACACAACCGTTTATCCCATCGTCAGCACGTAAGCTACCACATTACCCTCCATCATTTAAGTGCGAATATAAAAAAACCCGGGATATATGTGAAAAGACCGCTTACGAACGACAGTTGGCATACTATAGCCGTACCTGTCCCAGGCGACTGTTTTTTCACGTTAAAATGCGGACAAAACGTAATGATGGTATCCCCCCGTTACTGCTACGCGAAAATTCACATTTACTAGCTGAATCTGATCTAGCGAAAGCTGAGACTTTTTCAAACTATTTTAGTGAAGTCTACTCTACGTGTATTGTTACAAATAATTGTTCCAATCACATCGAGATACCAGCCATAGGACTGTACAAGTGACTGAAGAAACTGTCCTTCCATTGATAACTAACCTAGGACCTTGTAAGATACCGGGCCCTAATGGGTCACATCCACGTTTGCTGTCATCGCTTGCGGACATCGTTTCAAGACCACTCACGACGCTCTTCAACATATCCCTTTCACTCACTCAACTACCTAGAGAATAGAAAGACACTATAGTCCGTCCCATATTTAAGGATGGTCAGAGATGGATCGTATCTAACTACCGGCCTGTCAGCCTGTTTAGCATGGTCGTTAAGTTACTTGAAAAAATAATTCCGGCCAAGCTACTGAGTCACATAGATTCGTATAATCTGTTAACCCACGAGCAACATGGGTTTCATAACAAGCGTTCATGCTTAACTAACTTACTCATCGCGTGTGAGGATCAGACAGTAGGCCTAGATAACGGCCTGTATGTCGATGTGATATTCATAGATTTTAGCGAAGCGTTTAACAAGGTTTCACACTTAGATCTTATGCAGAAGCTCTCGAGCTTTGTAATAACAGGTGCTCTGGAGGAATGGATAGGAAGCTTATTAAGTGACCTTAGACAGAGAGTGAGAGTCAATGGAACGCTATCCGAACGGAAACCGGTCAAAAGTGGTGCACCCAAGGCACCATCTTAGGCCATCTACTTTTTCTTCTGTATGTTAATGAACTGCCTTTATTACTTAAGTCGTAGACATTATTATTTGCGGATGATGTTAAAATCTGGAGAACAATAAGAAGTGAGATGCTTCGAATGTAAGGCCACACTTAGAATACTGTATCCAAGCAGCTAGTCCATGTCTGATGAAAGATACTAAATCACTTAAGTGTGTCCAGCGTGTGGGGACAATATTAGTGAAGGGTCTTTCTAAACCCTCTTACGATGAGCGTTTGAAACGTCTAAACCTTTTCCCCTTATCCTATCGTAGGACACGAGGTGACCTTATACTGGCATTTCGTATCTTTAATTATGATTTGGGTGTTAATATGACTTATCTTTTTGCTCCTTACAGCACTAATAATCTAAGGAGGAACGATCAGAAACCGCGAACTAATAAAATAAAGGTGGGGTCCCGTTTTCCTCATCGAGTGGTCAATAACTGGAACACATTACCAGAACAAGTGGTATCAGCATCATCAGTGAACATTTTTAAGAAGAAGCTGAACCTTCAATGGAAGGAAATCTGCCAGGATTAACACAGGTTCATCAACCTACTATACTTACTACTGAAGACTCATTGACTTCTTCTCTGATTATTAATATCTGTTGAAATTACCCTTCAGGTATAGATAAAATACAACAAGAATTATAGATCTTCTTTAATAAGAATGCCTTTTTTCTTGGACGCAGTTCAGAAAAATCGGATTCTTCGCTAACCCTGTCTGACAAACTTGAGGTTGTCGGCCGCTCAACTCAATACTGTCGATGCTCAAGGTCATGACTCAAAGTTGTTGAGGTATGCACCAAAAAGCAAATGTTTCGCCTTTTTATTAAAAACAAAATACATCGAAAACACAAGCAATGTTCGACAACAAAGCGATTTGTGATGAAAACAGTAGTGCGGCTATAATTGATAAACTTTCGACAATAAACTCGACGCAATAGACCGCGAAAATATGAACCTCAGGCTTCATTGATAAAATTTATGCCAAACTGCAAGTTAATTTAAATTGGTCTAGTATAAATGTTCAAATTTACTCTAATAATAATGTAATTTAAGGAGGGGTCGCTTCAGCGCCGTGCGAAGCTTTTTGTTTTATGTACATACTGATTGTGTAGCTGAGGAAATAAACTTAAATCATAATTTTCATAACTGTGTACTGTTATTACAATGCCAGTCGCTTGACAGTTATTGGAATGCTCAGCCAAACAAGATTCACTTAGAGAATTCTAACACCTCCACTTTCCTATGAAATCCAACTATTCAGTACATCCACCAACTGACATCAGCTAAATAGGATTTTTTTCGCACCTATTGGATTTTATAATCCAAAACATGTAATTTTTCGTCTGACTGGTTCATCCCTATAACATATTTTATATGGGTTGTGTGTTACCGTACCGCAGAGATTAGTGTATTTGTAGCATGTTAGGCTATATGTTCTTTGTTTAGGTTCCAAGATTGTAATAATCTGGGGCTAGTGTTAGTAGTGATTTTCGTTTATCACTGTCCTTAATAAATGTAGGTTCATTGTTTGTACTTACTGGGTTTTTCATTTCACTTTTCGTTCTTTTTTCCAGCCCTCACGCTACTCTTTATGCTCCCTTAATACACGAAGTACCTGCTGGCTAAACACAGACCGCTACACGTTATAGACTTCAGTCTCTTGCTTCTTTAGGTAGTTTTGTTAAATTAGTTTAAATGAACATAAAATTGTAACACAAGCTTTTAACTTCTATGTTTTGGTGGATTAGTTCGGGTTTTGGCAACGTTTTTTGATTAAAGGAGACCACTCCGCTATTGTATAAGGATACCAACAGTTCTACTTGAAAATTATTTCAGATGTATAGGGCAGATTTTGCTTTGTCATAATCTGTGTTGATCCTTTCAATAAGGTCCAATTTACTCACTATCATTTCATGTGGGTCTCCGTGTTTCAGTGTCATCTGCATCATTTGCATGGAGTGAAAAAAATATCCTAGGATCGTCCTTTGAGGAGTGATGCTGTTCAAGGATCTCGATAAATGAAAATTTCCGTCTACTTGCATACGTTTTCTTCCGTTAGTGATTATGTCTTGAGTCCAATTTCTAACCCTACAATCGGCTCCGAAACTTTCCTGGTTTGATTTTATATCACCTAGAATACTCTGGCAAAGTCTTCGTGGACGTCTGCAAGGATAACAGCCACTGCAGTATCTTTATTTTTTTTACTGCAACCCAGTAAAGTTATAACGATGACCAATTAGTCAGATGTGAATGACCCTCTCGAAAGATAAATTCTCTGACTAAAAGATTATTCTCTTCCGCGTGATGTAGACTGACAACACCAATTATTTTCCCCATTATTTCAAAATGTATACTAGTGAGGCTAGCAAGCACAGTTATTACTTACCAAGTATCTATGTCCGGTTTCATAAACCAAATTATCACAGTTGTTCTTCCAATCTCTTAAATGTTTCCACTACTTTGGCAATGTAATAAGTAACACTCCTAGAGTCTTGGCACTTGTATCAACTTTGACTTCTGTACCCCGAAGGTGAATGTCGTCAGTATCACTTGTCAAAGGTATACACACTGCATGTTTTAAAAACATTGGTAATTTTCAAAATTATTCGTTTCCGTTTCACCTTACCATCAACTTGCCATGGTTCGCTTACTGTAATGTTGACTAAGTAATAGTAAAGACAAGGTTCTTATTGAAAATTAAACTACTGTCTGCCCTGGGCTTTAGTAGCGTCAGTACGTTACCCACCCATGACGTATTCTCAAAAGCAGAGCTTAATCTAAAAGACATCCTATGGACCCTTGGTCACGGGGTTCCTCTAATAGTAATCTTCTTCTTAGAAGCATACCAGTGTATACCGCGTTAAAACTAAATGTTTCGGAAAGTGTTCTGTACGACTGATCTCCAGCAGTCACTGTAGTTTGTGTTCACATTGCGGATTAGGTGGGATCTCCATTAATGCATTTTCCTAAGGAAAGATTACCATCGAAAACATGAAAAGTTTTGTCTTTCAAAGGTCGAAAACAGCTAAGTTTATTCGCTATTAACATCCCGTCAAATATTTAAAAACTTTCTATTCTATTTATTCGTTTTTTGTTTCCTCGCTTATAGAACATCCTTTCACCACAAGCGTAAAGTGTATATACTTTTATTGTAAGAAGTGAACTGAAGAATGACTAGTTAGATGAAGCAGTACGAACGGTGACTGTAGTGTCTTTTATTTGGCATAAATGGGTCAGTCTTTATGTGCTCCTGTTTTATCCAAGGAAACAAAAAGCTGGCAAAATGAAAATTATAGTGTGGCAGTATCCAGTATGCAAGGATGGCGTGTACATATGGAGGACGCTCATATGTGTTTACTAGAGCTCCCTGGTGATCCAAAGGCTGCCTATTTCTCAGTTTTTGATGGACATGGAGGTACAAGGGTGGCAAATCATGCAAGTCGTCATCTTCATGAGAAAATTATTGAACAAAGTGAATATGGTAAGTCTTCTTTCTGACATGGGCCGATTTTATGAAAGGCATGTTAATTAGGAAATTATTTGATGTCTAATTTTCTTTCTCTAATTTGGTACTCGTTAAAATATGTAATTTGCTTGTCTGTAGCAATTTTCAGGTTCAATTTATGATAGTTAATTTCTTGAGTTAGTTTACATATATTGCAGTGACCTCAGTTGAATAATAGCGATCTTACTTTTTAAAAATAAAGTAAACTGATGAATAACGTATGCAGATAGCGAAAATGTTGGTAACTAGAACTACATGTGATTTTCTGAGTCAATCTATTCACCCACTTTTAATGTATGACAGAGATACTACCTGATTTCTCAAATGTTGACTGGTAGGGCGAGTTTTGGATCAGACTACAGTTAAATTAAATTTACTGCTAATCTTCGGATTTATTTGATAACGCTGAATTGCCATTCGCTATGGGGTTCTTTGAGATGCAAACAAATACTCAAAATATAGTATTTAATAAGTTTACCCACCTCATCTTTTTAGTCATTCTAACGATAAATGAATGTTAGTTTAATAAGCAGTACTTTGTCACTTGACGTTTTCGAAAGGAGCACTTTGTCACATCCATTTTACAGGTTTACTCATAATTTCCAAGTCACGTATTATTGGGAATGTGCAATTCTGAAACACAACTTATAAAGAAGGAGATCAATATCAATTTAAACTGAGGGTCAGGTTAACTTTTAATGTGTTTTTTTACATCAGCTTCTAAACTTTCAGTAGGTTTTCGCTCTGATTTGTGTTTGGTGGCAACCACTCAGTTTATAAATTCTGATTGTTTTAAGTGATATATAACTGGTTACCTAAAATGACTATTTAATTATACTGTGGTTATCATTAAAAAGGCTTCCATTACAAAGCTGGACTTCTCACTGTTGTTGGTGCAGCAAATAAGAAGAGGTTAGAAGTAGTCTTGTTCATTCTATTGACGTCAAAGTTGCGAAATATTAGCATAGCATACGAGTGCATCACGTATAAGACCTTAAAGGTATTGCATACCTAGGTTAGGTGAATAGGAAGCTATTTTGACCACAGACAAAGCTTGAATAAGTCTCTTCTAAGGACTCATTGACGTAGATACACCTAATCAGGCTTTATGCTCCGGTTATTCTCTGAAACCGTATCCGTAGTTTTTTCACCATTCATTATAGCCTTGTTAAAATGTGCCTGAAAAAGCAAGGTCTATAATAGTCGAGGCTAAGGCCTTAATGTGGTATTATTTTCTTTCTTTTCACTTTCCGATTTGCTTTAAACGGTTGGCATCAGTACAAGTATTTTCAACGCTGAAGTTCCTGGTTTTATAGTTGTTTTACATGTGTGAAATCAAACCAATGTTAATTCTATCTAATAACTGTTATATCCTGGTGAAGATTAAAGTACGGGTAACTACCGAGATCTATTAGTGGACTAATATTCCATAAATATACTAATTGCATAACTATTGAGTAATTAGATTTGTGCATATCTATATTCATCTTATCATAACTTTCATTTTGAGCTATAGATTATTATATTATACGATTTACTGTTCCTAAATTATACTGAGTTTACTGATTACTGTCTCCCACGTTCACAGCCACATTTCGGCTTGATGTTGTATAAATGTTATTTCCTATTTTGTGGTCTGTTGTGTATACTTGAAATAAATGATTCGCATGGCAGAAGCTGATATTGGTATTCCGTACTCAACTGGAAGGGCTAGGCGAACAAAAGACCAATAAGGACAATAGGCTGCTTATACCGGTCGAACGTCATTGGTGTGGCACAGTGCTAAGATTAGATAAGTCGTATTTCGATTGGTGAAGAAATCACGTGATAAAAGCCGGGCATAAAATCACAACAATAATATTTTTGTTAATATCTTGCTTTTCTTTATCAACACTCGAACCATAGCATGTATACTTATTAGGTCGTATATGTGCTTCAGTTAACTTGAGACTTTTGGCTTATATTGTAAGCAAAAATAGATAGTGGCTAGCAGTGGAATCCAGTTGCAGTCCTAAACATCAATGGGAAGATTCAAACAAACAATACTAAGTGAATTTTGGCTTATATGTTTGTACGTAGTGATATCTATGTAGTTTCTCATTATCTGTGTAGACACCAATTCTGTATTAGTCATTTCGGTTAGTAAAGCTATCCTCTGTGAACAGCTGGTAGTTATATGGATCGTTATGGATTCATTCATCCTCGTAATATTATGTCATTGGAATCGCCGATAATATTTATAAAACTCATCTATTTCTTCATAAAATGGTAAATATAATACTTTGTGGTTGCAATATATGATGATAAATATAGTCTTATAATTCAAACTTGAGACGTAGTGACTGACCTTGCGGGACCTACCACAATTTCCGTCATTGCTGTTCTCTACAACATTCCTAATATCATTCGGGTCGCCTGAATTAGGGTTAGAAACTAAACTGATCATCGCTTTGACCGACTGACCAACTCCCGCATGTTTGTGGGGTTACTGTGCAGTTTTCAGCGAGTCCTATTGAGCTGTGGGTTTGTATAGATGTTTGCCCACTACAAATTGAGCGAACGATGAATTGGCACTTTTCGTATTTGTAGAACTACGATAAAGCATCCTAAATAAAAGAACCAAACTACTGATTTACTGTTGAACAATAAAGTAGTACAAATTTATGAAGCAGTTCACACCAACTTATAAATACTTTTTGTTGTTTTCCTTATTACATAAGTGGAAGCGAACATGTGTAAATAAAACAATAATTTGGTCATCAGATATTATATCCTTAAATAGATTTCAATACATAACTAGCCGTTAACTGATCCATTTTAGGTCGAAACAATATAAAAGAGGCTATTCGTCATGCCTTTCTTTCTATGGATGCTGAGATGCAATCTGAAATGACTACATATTCTGTTAAACCATCGACACCGAAACTAGACAGCTCAGTTAATTTAACAGGTACTGGTTCAGTTGTGGCAGTGAAAGATAGTACTGTTGAAACGAATGACAGTAAAGCAAGCTTCTCTTTGAAAATTCCAAATCCAGGCGATGAATTGGCTGGATCTACTGGAATAATAGTCTTATTGAAAGATCAAATGCTTTACTGCGGAAATGCTGGAGACAGCCGTGCAGTATGCAGCAGACGTGGAGTCGCAGAACCTTTGTCTACAGATCACAAACCAACTCTACGTGCTGAGAAAGAGCGTATTTCTGCTGCTGGTGGTTGGGTCGATGCAAAACGTGTGAATGGGAACCTTGCATTGTCACGAGCTTTCGGTGATTTTGTCTTCAAGCGTAACCCACATCAGTCTGCCGAAAACCAAATCGTAACTGCGAATCCGGATGTTTTTGTTCGACGACTTTCAGTCGAAGACGACGAATTTATTGTACTGTGTTGCGATGGTATATGGGATGTAATGACAAATCAGGAAGTTGTAAGCTTTGTTCGCCTGCGACTCAGTTATGGTATGCTTCCATCGAAAGTAAGATTTTACCTAGTAATACATTTTTTAACAGAAACACTACATTGAAAACAGAATTCATTTTCGGAATTTCTCAAAAACTATTGTAAAATTAAGATTTATATGTCCCAGACTCCTTAAAAGTGTTTTTCTAGATCAGTAAGCAGTTTAGTGATTAACCCCCATTTCAATGAATCATACAAAATACCCAGCTTTCATGTCATATAAAAAACTGCCGTATTTCAAGCAGTATATGAAAATGTGGTTCATTATCACTGAATGTTCTGAAAAGTACAGCCATTTGATGTACCAAATTTTATCTGAGCTGATTACAGTGACATTATATTTAGTTGCGATAGAACTGACAATATTAAATCCAAGTATCCTGCAGCTTTAATGCAAGTATTTCTTATTTTTAATGGATATACTACCGAAACGCATATTTCTGTAAGAATAGAAGTGTTATAAGCGGCATAGATTCAAGTGTAAATTCTGTAACTAACTGATGTGTGATAATGGAAGTAAAGTATGTTTCGTCGTTGAGCGTGGACAAACAGCCACAACCCACGGACTATTAAATGTGTGATTTTCTTTCCTATCTTTGATCTCTACTCTGGACTGACTGTATGTGATTGTATTGAATAAAGTATTCTCCAGTGTTAATCTAGTTCTCTATGTTGGATCGCGAATCCTGGTTCTGAAATAACATGATTTCTCTTAACGTATTATCGTAATATATATGTAGAGAGGAAAAATATTGCAAACCATCTGTTCTATCACAAAAAAAGTGAAAAATGCTAAGTCATATTGCTATAATTTCTGCTTTAGGAATTGATTACGATACAATGAATAGTGTGAGCGAATGTATGTCTGTGTACTGCTATTAGAAATTAGAGGGTCTAAACTCATTGTTTCTCTTTTTCCTAATTACTCTGAGATTTAATGTGCTTTTAGGATACTGGTAAATGTAGCCATTTTTTAATCAGAGATCCTAAGAAGTACAAGACCTCTTGTTTGTGTTCATACTAAATCCCACATTTTATTGTTTCTAGGTGTGTGAAGAACTTATGATGCGATGTTTAGCACCTGATTGTCATACAAATGGTTTGGGCTGTGATAACATGACTGTCGTTTTGGTCTGTCTCTTACAAGGGCGTCCGTTCTCGGATTTACAACGCAAGTGTTCTCGGTCGTGCCCAGCCGGTCCAGCAGCCGATATTTTAGGTACATGAAGCTATAGGAACTTATATCCGTAGAGGTCTTCTTTGTGATTCCAGCTTCATCTCGTTACCTATTTTGATCTAATCTTTCAAATAATTTTTACCGTTTCCTGTGTAGTCTTGCATTTTGTTTCTAAGAAAAGTAACTTGTGGTTCTGTCTTCCAAATAATACATTTTCCAGAAACGATACTCTTCACTGCATGCTACAATTTTAGAAATTCGGGGAGTTTCGGGATGATACCAAAAGTTGTTAGGTTTTACCATGCTTGTTGGGCGCTATGCATTATCCTTGTTGGTAGACGTATTACATAAATATAAGTTATAAAATTGTATGGAAGTTTGCTTATCAAGGTAAGTAAACTATCCTATTGAATAAAATTGCATTTAACTATTTGACTTGACATTTCAAAAATCTACTAACGATCATCTTGGTAAGTACAGTCGTGGTCAGTATCTTAACGAGTATACAAGTATGAGTAAAGCACAAAACCCATTTAGTTGAGTGGGATCGCTCTATAGAACACCTTAGCAGCCTTAAGTAACAGCGAGTTTAGTTGGTACAAACTTTTACCTTATGTCCAAACTACTTCACGCCATTTAGTTACAGAATCATCGGCTTTCTATTCTGAATGGTGTCTCACTCCGTATGATTGAAAAGGTATATTTAATGTATAAAATGTGATCATTTGTTCACAGAAATACAAATAGGCAATAACCACTAAAACCTAATGCATAAACTTTTTAGCATCATAAATAAGAACAAATCCCATAGTAAACACTTGATAGAAATAAAAATGTTTCAAACTTTTGAGACTAAATTCTCAGACTGTATATAAATTAAAATCGAAGAGATTAGAAAAACCATACTTTTAGTGTCTTTATATAACAGAGGTTGTGTGTAAATCTCAAGTTCATGAAAACTGAGTTCAGCAATCAAACCACTTGTATGCGAATAGTAATCTAAAATATTCCCTTAGATGAATTCATAGTTGGGACTCGGAAATAAACTTTCTAAATCAGTAGTATATAAACTGTGACTAGACAAAAGGTCAATGAAATAATTATTAACTGTCAAGACTGATACTACAGAGACCAACTATAAAACTCAATAATCATATTGAGATTCGTACACTCGGCTATAAATCCCACTTTTGACGTAATAGTGATGCTACTCGTTTATTTGAACTAGAACAGTTGGAACAATGTTAGAATCGTCAACTCAGTGTGTCGTAATCAATGGACTACAACACCACAAACAAGCACTGAAATACCCTGATAAAATTAGTGCACTTCTAATAAATTTGTGATTATCTGTTAAGCAACACCCAAGATATTTCTTATAAGCTGAGCATTATGACTTCCATACAATGAAATACAAAAACATAAGTAAAGAGAAAACATCTACTGAAGAATAAGTCGACTTAAATTTCATACATATCTGGAAGTATACACAGGTGCCAGATCACAATTAAGAATCGAAATCTATACACTGAAGCTCTCTCCGCACCCACATGTGCCTTTAATATTAGGGTTATTAAAAACAAATTGACTTGATAACACGTCCTGCTGATAGTCCATTTCAGTACCTAATAACGTCAGCTGTGCTCGACGATCAATAAAAATGCGCACATTATCCTGTTCTACAACCTCATCTCCAGGTTGGCGTCCTTCAAAACAAAAGTCCAAAGTATATGACAAGCCGTTGCATCCACGGGTCCTAACTCCAATTCGTAAACCTGTGGCTTTTGGATTCATTTGCAAAAGCTGTAGAGCTCGAGCTACGGCCGACTTTGTAAGGGTCAGTGGTGCATGTTTACCAACAAGGGATAAAGGTTTTGAACGTGCAGTTGTCTTGACGGAATTTGAAATCAATCCAGGTCTGGTTGAAAACCGATACACCGTAGTCTTACCTACCAAATTATCCTCGATTAAGTAATGCAAAATTTTTGATCTGGTTGTGACCAACTTCAGGCTTTTAACCAAGTTCATTGGAGAATGCAGCGTTATAGAGACATCTGAAATAATAAAGTTTATTCAGAAATTAATCAATTTACCTACATGCAAGGGGACGTGTATGCTAGATTTTAGATGCTACTATCAATGTACATTTCAACGTAGTTGGTTTGTGCATAATTTTCTGTCTTTATGATAACACTAGGCATCTTAATAACAGCAGCTGAAGCTGCATACGCATTTTTTTACAACTTTAAGGACTACTACGTATATATATATATATGACAAAGTAAAAATTAATAGATGTAGAATAATGTACACTGGAAATACGCAGGCCCTCACTACTTAATTCACTACATCTATTGAAGTCCGCTAGCTTGCACTGAGCTTGATCACTGGAACGATATGCTCACTTTCCGTTACCTTAAATGAAGGGTTATGAACAGTAAACTGCTGTGTAAACAGGCATCAACGACAAATGGTAATCATTTAGCCACAGCATGAAAGAGGACGTGACGTAATACTTTACGAGATTACAATTATAACCCTTTAATAATGGAGTTGATTGATGATTTCTTTGATACAAATACAAATCAGACAGTGAGAAAGTTACTTGGAGGAGTTTGTGTAGCCTTAAAAAACAGTTGGTGGATGTACTGAGTAGTTGGATTTCATAGGAAAGTGGAAGTGTTAGAATTCTCTAAGTGAATCTTGTTTGGCTGAGCATTCCAATAACTGTCAAGCGACTGGCATTGTAATAACAGTACACAGTTATGAAAATTATGATTTAAGTTTATTTCCTCAGCTACACAATCAGTATGTACATAAAACAAAAAGCTTCGCACGGCGCTGAAGCGACCCCTCCTTAAATTACATTATTATTAGAGTAAATTTGAACATTTATACTAGACCAATTTAAATTAACTTGCAGTTTGGCATAAATTTTATCAATGAAGCCTGAGGTTCATATTTTCGCGGTCTATTGCGTCGAGTTTATTGTCGAAAGTTTATCAATTATAGCCGCACTACTGTTTTCATCACAAATCGCTTTGTTGTCGAACATTGCTTGTGTTTTCGATGTATTTTGTTTTTAATAAAAAGGCGAAACATTTGCTTTTTGGTGCATACCTCAACAACTTTGAGTCATGACCTTGAGCATCGACAGTATTGAGTTGAGCGGCCGACAACCTCAAGTTTGTCAGACAGGGTTAGCGAAGAATCCGATTTTTCTGAACTGCGTCCAAGAAAAAAGGCATTCTTATTAAAGAAGATCTATAATTCTTGTTGTATTTTATCTATACCTGAAGGGTAATTTCAACAGATATTAATAATCAGAGAAGAAGTCAATGAGTCTTCAGTAGTAAGTATAGTAGGTTGATGAACCTGTGTTAATCCTGGCAGATTTCCTTCCATTGAAGGTTCAGCTTCTTCTTAAAAATGTTCACTGATGATGCTGATACCACTTGTTCTGGTAATGTGTTCCAGTTATTGACCACTCGATGAGGAAAACGGGACCCCACCTTTATTTTATTAGTTCGCGGTTTCTGATCGTTCCTCCTTAGATTATTAGTGCTGTAAGGAGCAAAAAGATAAGTCATATTAACACCCAAATCATAATTAAAGATACGAAATGCCAGTATAAGGTCACCTCGTGTCCTACGATAGGATAAGGGGAAAAGGTTTAGACGTTTCAAACGCTCATCGTAAGAGGGTTTAGAAAGACCCTTCACTAATATTGTCCCCACACGCTGGACACACTTAAGTGATTTAGTATCTTTCATCAGACATGGACTAGCTGCTTGGATACAGTATTCTAAGTGTGGCCTTACATTCGAAGCATCTCACTTCTTATTGTTCTCCAGATTTTAACATCATCCGCAAATAATAATGTCTACGACTTAAGTAATAAAGGCAGTTCATTAACATACAGAAGAAAAAGTAGATGGCCTAAGATGGTGCCTTGGGTGCACCACTTTTGACCGGTTTCCATTCGGATAGCGTTCCATTGACTCTCACTCTCTGTCTAAGGTCACTTAATAAGCTTCCTATCCATTCCTCCAGAGCACCTGTTATTACAAAGCTCGAGAGCTTCTGCATAAGATCTAAGTGTGAAACCTTGTTAAACGCTTCGCTAAAATCTATGAATATCACATCGACATACAGGCCGTTATCTAGGCCTACTGTCTGATCCTCACACGCGATGAGTAAGTTAGTTAAGCATGAACGCTTGTTATGAAACCCATGTTGCTCGTGGGTTAACAGATTATACGAATCTATGTGACTCAGTAGCTTGGCCGGAATTATTTTTTCAAGTAACTTAACGACCATGCTAAACAGGCTGACAGGCCGGTAGTTAGATACGATCCATCTCTGACCATCCTTAAATATGGGACGGACTATAGTGTCTTTCTATTCTCTAGGTAGTTGAGTGAGTGAAAGGGATATGTTGAAGAGCGTCTTGAGTGAAAATGTTTGCACGAATTTCGCCTGTACATTAGCAGTAAATAAAATGAGAAATAAATAGTTCAGTAAGTTTTCGACATTGATTCTGGCCTCATTAGTTTACCTGGCTAAACTAGCTGAAGGCGTTCGATCACGCATCCACAACAGATCATGATCGGGTGCATCCTACGTCGAACCCTCGCGAAAACTAGCTAGCATAAATCACTCACTTCTCGACACACCGACTGCTATTCAAACATAAGTTCAAATTTCTTCATTCCTGAATTATGGTATCACCAAATTCGGGATTCTTTGGTCATGAAGGCACTCAATCGTCGACACAAATCAACCGTAATTGTAATATACAACAGGAACAACTTTTGTACTTGAGAACTAATTCAGTTCGTGTTACTAACAGCTCGGTAACTATGTAGCAGTAAATAAATCTCCCAAACAAATAGCTCTGTATGTCCTGGTCATTGATGCTGACCACATAAATCTTAGTGGAACCATCTAGTTGAAGGTGCTCTATCACGCATCCGCATCAAATCACGGGTGGGTACGTCGTGCTTCACATCTACAACTGCTAACCAGCTTAGTTCAGTCACTTCTCCATGAAGATGCCACAGGTATTTTAGTTTGACAACACTTTAACAGTAACACCTGTAATTGAATCGCGTCCACGCAGTGAAATCAAAACTCGGAAGCGAGGAGGTTGAAAGATTTATTTGTTAGGTTATCAATATATCGAGAATGGACTGATCTTAACTGGCTAGTGGTTGCAGGAGAATTTGGGTGCTGCATTCCAATTCGTGATCTGGTGCGGATGCATGAGTGAACGCCTTCAGTTAGGTGAGTCCATTCAAACTAACGTGACCAGCATCCATTGTCAAACACTTACAAGGCTATTGACTTTGGGAATTTATTTACTGCCACATATCACTCCCCCTTAGTCGGACAGAGATGAATTTACGACGTGGCGAAGCAGACGTTTAAACCCAACGAATTTGTCATTTGTAAACACTATTATGATAGCTTGCCAGGTTTAGCAGCATCTTGTCGTTTTTCCTTATTATACAATTTTAAAATTATATAATTTTTATATAAAAGTATATAATTTTGAAAGTGCATTGCAATTCCATACATACCAAACTTGGGCTAAAATGGTGAGAATATAATGACAAACAATACTAAGTGAATTTAAGATTCACCCCATCGCACAAGGAAGTGGCTATCAGGACTCAGTGGCCGAGTGGATAACGCAATGGCGTTTGATGCGAGGGTACTGGGTTCGAGTCTCAGAGTGAACATCAACTCTGGGATGCAGGTACATCCAGCTGACGAGTCCCAAATAGTGCGAAACGCGCGTCCTGGATTCTACAGCTAGCCACTATCCATCTTTACTTATCATGTTTCAGTCTGTTTGTTTTTATAAAACTACGTAGCACTTCTTTTTAATTCGTATATGTTGTGATATATTGAACAATTGTATTCCCCTCGTTAATTCCCATAATTTAAATTCATCATAATCGGACAGAATCTTCGGGAAATGGATAAATGTTTGCCACATATGGTTAAGGACATGTGTTTACGTAAACGCATCCACTAGATCTTCGTCGTTGCAGATGCTTCTGTGCCTTTCATCCGTATAGACCTGCTTCAACACCATATATTACTCATCAGTATGCTGAAACCTGAGTTAGCTAATGGAAATACTCGTCTATCCGTTTGTGTAACTTCTTTCACCGGTTGTAGACTACCTCACGTCATAGTAGAGCACACGATCGATACATAATATCGACAGATACTCGATAGGCACCTCGAGATATAGCGAACGCGACCAAATATGTCAGGTAAAACCATCAATGTTACATATCACATCAAGAATACAGAATACTGCCTGTACTCTCGAAACCGCGCCAACTAGCTGCTGAAAAGCTGAAGCTGGTTATAAACGAATTCGACCCTATGATAGACTTATGAATCATTCGGTCATCAAATGGCTCATGGGCTTCTTACTTACACACGGTTCCTAAAAAGGTTTCAACGATTGACGTCCAACTGGTGACTATCGGCGAAAGAGTGAGAAAATCATTCTCGATCGTTACCCGTTGCCACACACTCAGCTACCTTGAAAGATATAACTGCCTTTTCAAAAATCAACCTGTGTACTGCGTATAACCGAATCCTCATGATTGTTGACGACATTCCTAGAACACCTAACGTCACCACTTTCGGACTCTACGAACTTTTGCGTATGCTCACTGGCTTAAGAAATGTCGAAAAAACATTTCACAATTCTTCGGTGACGCCTTTCGAGGTCTCGTCTTCGTACATGCGCATGTTCAAGACTGCTTGATCTCCAGTCCGGACAGAGAATCTTATATCCATCATCTGATCCTTGTCTTCGAACGACTGCAAAAACACGGCATTACTGTAAATATTCAGAAGTTTCAAATCGGCAGATACTTTGAACTACCCAGAGCCGACCACAGTTAATGAGCTACGTGTATTTAATGGCCTGGTAAGCATCTATCGACGGTTCATACCAAATCGTAAGCCGCTCACAAAACCCTTAACCAACCAACTTCGTG